ACAGGGACACCATGAGGCAGGGAAAGCCCATAGAGCAGTTCTGTCCTATAGCACACAGGGACACCATGAGGCAGGGAAAGCCCATAGAGCAGTTCCACCCTGTGTCACATGGGGGCGCCAGGAAAACCCATAGCAATTCTACCCTGTGGCACACGGGGGCGCCATGAGTCACAATCAACTCCACCGGCAACTATCAAGGGGAAAAGAGACTCCTTTGGTAGAGCCACATACCACACAACCAGTGTGGTCAGGCTGACATCATGGGATGAGAGGACGGTCCCTGGCCATCCCCAATAGGCTACAGAGAAGGTCCAGCCAAACAGGCGCCGTGGTGACAGAAATGGGGGTCCTAATGGAAGGAGGTCACTCTGGGTCCCCCGAAAACAACAATGATGTCAAAACACAGAGAAAGGTGAGGAGCCGCTGGGGACAGCAGGTGACAGAAGGGGCTGGACAATCGAAGCTCGGTGTGATGGGGGCAGGATTCGGAGCTAGGGTGGGCGGTAAAGCTCTGAAGGAGAAGCAGGTGGGTCGCCTGCTGGAGAACTGGAATCTGGAGGCACATGGAACATGTCGGAGGTCCCAGCGCTGTGACAGTCAATAGTGACTATGTGAACATGCAGGCGAGTGGCCTCGTTCTCAGGAAGGGGCCTGGGGCTCCGATGTCTGCAACACCGTTACTTCAGCACTGCTGCCCACCCCTCACAGTAGCTACAGCTCAAACAATGAGGCTAGCGCCGCCTCAAAACTATCCAGGGAAATAGGGGGTCACCGTTGCTCTCGCCCCATTCGGAGCAAGAAGAGGGAAGAAAATCAAAGACGCAAGGAAACGTTAATCCAAAGGACTAGTGGACCACGTGGACCCCAGCCCACATGATAGTGAGACCAGAACAGCAGGTCAACCCCCGGTAAAAAAGGATCTTTTCAGAAGGTCCCAGATAGAGTGCAGCCCTGGTATGGTGATGTTGGATAAACACTGGACTCTGAACCACAGGTTGGCAGCTCAAACCCACTAGCTGTACCTGGGAAACCCTAGATAGGAGATGCCACGAGATGGAAGAGACACCAACACGCTTAACAACACACAGCAGCAGATAGAATGGAAGAGAATGTGCAACGAAGACTCAGAATCACAAAGAAAGAGGAAGACCTGGCTTCCAAGTCTGAGAAGATACTGGTGGGTCCCCCAAGACCCATCAGGTCTGGAAAAGAACTCACCCTGGGGCTCGGTTCAGCCTGAAGCTAGACAGGCCTGTCGGGGGCACAGTAACTCCAGTGGCTCCTGTTGTACCCCCAGAGCCCCCCCAGGAGATCCAAGGGCAGCATCTCTCCAGGAGAAGCTGAGAAGGCAGCAAGGGGAGGACGGCGGGATGAAGGGAAGCGGGAAACAGCAGGAGGAAGTGGGAAGAGCGCCGTTAGGTGTGGGGACAGCCGTCAAAGCCATGAATCACTGTGTGCACAAACTGTTTCATGGAAAACCGGTTTGCTTTGTAAACTCCCACCCAAATCACAAGAAAAAGTTAAATGAAACTGTTCAGAAAAAGAGAAGGCAGGAAAGAAAAACAGGAAGACAGGGTGAGCAGGGGAAGATGGGAAGGCGGGAAAACAGTCTGGGACCCAAGAGTGCACGCATTCGGTGATTCGGTGATTTCAGGAGACAGAACGGCAGAAGTGGGCCTCGACCATCAAGCCAACTGACACGCCGCCAGCTTATAGAACCTCCAGGGCAAGACAGAGGACATCGGCTAGAACTCTTTATGGGAGCGGACAACCTCATTTTTCTCCCACACAGCAGCTGGTGGATTTGAACCACCAACCTTGTGGTTAGCAGCCCAAAGTTTAAACCACAGCGCCACCAGGGCTCCTTACAAATCTGCAAAAAAAAAAAAAACACCTTAAAAACAACACACTACAGTGATGACTCTGGATAGCACGATTCCATTTCAAGGAAACCCCCGCAAAACAGGCCAATCTAGAGCCAGCCATGGAGTTGGCTGCCTGGAGGAAGGGTGCAGGGGGAATGGGGAGGGGCTGGAAGTGGGGGCGGTTCTGACTCTCCAACAAATGACTGTAACAAACCCAACCTGCTACTGTCCAGTGTGTTCCGAGTCTTGGTGGCCCCATGTAGGCAGAGCAGAACTGGGCTCTATAGGGTATTCAATGGCTGTGAGTTTTCGCAGCAAGGAGGCCTGGTGCCGCAGTGCCTAAAGTGCTTGTCTGCTAGCTGGCAGTCTGCTTCTACAAAGACAACATCTGGGGCACTACCTGTAAGGTCACCGAGCTAGAACCCACTTGACAGGAATGGAGCTGGGTTTTGTGCTGACGGGCCCAAATCCCAGACACTGTATCCAAGCATCCTGCCGGCTCCTCTCTGCTCCCACACCACCCCTGCAGAGCCCGTGCCTGAACCCACGTCCCCTTTCAGCCCAGCTGGCAATGCTGCCAAAGCAGCTAGCCGAGGTAGAAATCCGGGCGTCTTCCTAGAGCCCTCTGGGTATCTGTTTGCTAGACAAAGTCTCCTGTTAACCTCTTAAATGATTTCTCAACCCAAGCCAGGGACTCGGCACACAGCACTCCCTCACAGAGAGGGCAGGAATGTGCCCAAATCTGAGCGGAGCCTCATCAGCCACAAGCATCGCTAGTGCTCCCTCCCACTTGGATATTTGGGGGTGTCCAAATTGGGGAATCTAAGGTCTCAGAAAGGACAGCAATGGCAGTTTGGGCCACCAGAACGGAGACTCAGGATTTGAGGTGCTCGATTGTGGGGGGTCAGAATTGGGAGATCTGCATCCAGAGTATCAGGAATTAGGGATCTGAGACCCAGATACGCTATTCACCTCTCCCCCCACCTGTGAAGCCTGCTCCCAATCCTTCTCAGGGCCTCCGGGACATGCGGGGCGGGGGGGGGGTCTTACTACCAATTCTCAGATCCTGAACTGCTATTTTTAGGGTGGGAAGATGGTCCCGAGCCCCCGTTAAGAACCTGCTGGACATCACATGCCCCTTCCCGTGAGAAAATGAACAAGGCCAGAATCAGGATTTCATGAGCCATCCAGAATCTTTGGGGCATCGTGAGGAGGGCTGGTGGTGCAGTAGTTAAAGCACTTCGGCAGTTAAATGATGGGCCAGCAGTTTGGACCCACCCATGAAAGATGAGGCAGTCTGCTTCTGTGAAGATGTAGTCTGCAAAACCCCACAGGGTAGCTCTGCTCGGCCCCACAGGGTTTCTAGAAGCAGAACTGACTTGAAGGCAGTCAGGTTGTAGACCTCTGATACCATAGTAGCTAACCTCAGGGTCAGCAGTTCAAAACTACCACCCATTTCACGGGAGAAAAATGAGGCTTTCTGCTCCCATAAAGACTTACAGCTTCGGAAGCCCTCTTCAGGGTCGCTGTGAGTCAGACACAACTCCACCCCTCCCCCCAGGCCTCTGCACCCCTCTACTACTCAGATGGGAGACTACACTGTAATCTCCCGACAGACTCCTGGACCAGTCCCTCGCTCTGTCCTGTTACTCACTGTCTGCCTGAAGGCACCCTGACCCCTCCTCAAGGAGACCAGCAGTCTGCCCCACAAACAACACCCAGGGGCCCACCTCGGTGGGCGATCTCCGCCTTCAGCAGTTCCTCCATGGCGTCCAACTCAGCCAGGTCCAGAGGCAGGTCCCCATCGCTGTTGACGGCGGCAATGTTGGCCCCATGGCTCAGGAGGTACCTGGGGTTGGGAGCGGGGGTCAGGGCTGACGGGGCCAGTACCACTGCCCCCCTGCTGTCCCTGCCCAGCGCCCTGTCTCACCTGGCGATCTCCAGGTACCCACAGGAGGCGGCCACGTGCAGAGGCGTCCAGCCCTCGTTGTCTGCCTGGTTCACGGTGGCGCCCTGCTCGACCAGGAAGCGGACCACTTCCAGGTTCTCATCTATGCAGGCCTGGGGCGGATGGGTGAACACTCAGCCTGCGGTCCCATCACCTCCACCCAGACAGGGCCCGGCCCCGGCCCAGCCAGGATCCTGACACAGACCAGGAGGCAAGGGAAAAGCCCCAGGGGACACTGACTCTGGACCCTCAGGCCCCCTGGCTTTCCAGTGGCTAGGCCCTTCAGCATCCAAGCCCGGGGGGCGGTGGGGAGGGAACACCCAGAAGGCCTTCCAGGTGCCCACAAACCCGAGCTGCCCCCAGCCGAGTGAGATAGGGTTTCCTGTCCGGGAGCAAGACTCCTGAAGGGGTTGGGTAGACCCCCAGGAGTTTAGATACACGGAAGTGGGGAAGGGGTTCCTGCTTAAGTCCAGGAGCCAAGGCCTCTAGCCCTTCCTCCCTCAGAACCAGTTCAGGGCCCAGTAACACACAGTACGCCACACCAGCCCTGGGTTTGAATTCCTTCTCTGCCTGTTCCAATATGGACACTCTTGTTAGCCTCCACCTTTCCAATCTTTCCTGTTACCAGGATGCCCCGTGGGGTTCTTAGCTCAGTGCCCCGCACAAAAGGTCCTAGGTAAAGAGTTTGCTAGGGGCCAAGGCTCTGGGAACACCTCAAGGTAGCTGTCGCTGCCTCGGGAGACCCGTCCAGGTCCCAATCTGTCTCTGCTCCCAAGCCGCCAGACAGCCCTGGGCCATTGGGGTGCAGCCCGATCTCCCCTCAGGGGATGTAGGGATACGGTGCCCTGAGCAGCTCAGGGAGAGAACAAGGATTCTTGGTTCTCGGCCTGCTTTAGAACTGACAAGTCAGGGCACTTGGGTCTAAGGGAGAAGACATGGGGTTGGGAGCCCTGGGCCCTCAGGATACCTTCCCCCCTAAACCCCTCCCCTCACCACAGCTTCCCATCTGGTGAGGGGAGGAGGGAGGAAACTATGAGGGCCAAGAGCATGAAGTCATGGAAACTAAGGCTGGGAAAGGGGGGCCACACGTGCCCTGGGAACGGGATGAACTCTGCGCTCCGTTTATTTCCACTCGGTTGTCATGGTGATGGGGGAGGGAGGCCAGGAGGGAGATGGGCTTTTCCCTTTCAAGGACCTGGCCCAGCACAGGCATCCGGGAGAAAGATGCCTGAGGCCTGGGCACCCAGATCCAAAGACCCAGGGCCCTGCCTTTCACCCCCCACCCCCCAGGTCCTCTCGTCCCTCGGAGCTGTGAGTCCAGGCCCCAGCCCCTCCTCCCTAGACACAGGAATCCCAATCCCCCCTCAGACCCAGGAAACTAAACTGAGCCCCTTCCTCCAACAAACCTGGGAGTCCCGACTCCCATCTCCTAGTACTAGTGCACAAACCCCTTTGGGGCAGGGAAGGAGTGTATCCACCTGACTCATCTGAAATAGGGGTAGCACCCTGAAATCCAGTGGGGAGCACGGCCAGAGGGGAGGCTGCTATATGGGGACCTGCCCTCATGGAGACATCTGCTACCATGCAGCTGTCACCCCATAGGGGGACCAACCCTCCCAATGTGCCTGGCACCTGGGCTCAATAATGCTGGCAGCCTAGGGTAAGCTGGTCATCTAGGCGGTGACACAAACCCCAGCTCCCCAGGAGGTGGTACGGTGTCTCCTCTCCACCTGTCTGCCCTGAACCCTCCCATCCTGCAGAACCCAGGGAGGGTGGCGAGAAGTTCTCACTGGAAGGGCTGATTTCAAGGCTGTGGTCTGGGGACACAGTGGGGAAGGAGGTTTTGTCTGAAAGCCAGGATCATGGGGCAGAGGGTCCTAGGCCCCTCTCCAAGAACTTGAGGACAGGGTTCCCTGCTCTTGTTGGGACAAATGGTTAAGCAGGAGACTATCAGCATGAAGGTTGGTGGTTTGAACCCAACGCATACAGAGGTACCTCAAAAAAAGGCCTGGTGAGCTACGGTCAGAAAGTCACAGCTTTCAAACCCTAAGGGACATTTCTCCTCATCACACGTGGGGTCACTGTGTGCTGGAATCAAGTCACCGGCAACTGAGTCCAGCATTTAGGCAAAGTGGTGTTGGCAACCCGCCTGCCTGCCCGTGAGCAGGTACTTCTCCACACAAGGGAGCCCCACTGGGGAGGGACTGGCCCCATTTTACAGAGAGGAAAACTGAGGGCTGAGAGAAATAATGCTGATCTGAGGTGGCAAAGCTGAGGAGCAGACTGATTCGGTTTCCTCTTCCTGGGAACCTGAGGGTTGGGTCTCTTCCAGCATAACCTCCTGCCCGGGTCCTCCCCAGGCCCCTCCTTAGCCCCAGTAGCCCCTTGATCTGCTTCCAGGTGAGGGCTGGGGCGCTGGGGAACAGGTTTGTGATGAGACTAGGTTTCCTGGCAGTGACGGAAGCCAGCCCACCAAGGGGAGGACAGGAAGGCCTCAGGGATGGACTTGGGGACTCTTCTCTGGCCCGTCCTGCCTCTACTGACCCTCTCCTCACAGGGGTGGAGGGGAGAGGGCTCAGAACCATAGAGAACCCGGGACACAATAGCTGGAAGGCAAACTTTAGGGCTGACGTGGAGGGGGTATGAGGGAAGGCCAGGTCGTGGAGGGAAGAGTCCCTGAGTGGTGTATGTGCTAACTCAAAGGGTGCAGGTTTGAGTCCACCCCGAAGAGCAAAAGAAAGGCCTGGTGATCTACTTCTGGAAAAAAACCAATCAGCCCCTGAAAACCCTCTGGAGGGAGCACAGCTCTACTCTGACCCACGTGTGGGAGTCAACTGGACGGTAACTGACAGGTGGGATGTGACGAGTAGGGGACAGAGGGGCGGAGGGAGAGGGGTATAGCTGCCCAATTAAAAGGTCTGAGAGTGACTCACACCCACAGGGGCAAACGATGACCAGAGACGGCAGGAGCCAGGAGGAAGGAAGGAGGGGTGTGTAAGGTGGAGATGTAGGCCTTGTCAGGAAGGGAACTGTGGGGAGAAGGGAGAAGTTTCCTGAGGGGACACAAAAAGTGGGAGGCAAGAAGGATGGAGAGGGACCATCTGACTTTAAGGCAGGAGGAGCCCTGGTGGTGTGGTGGGTTAGTGGTTCAAACCCACCAGCTGCTGCGCCAGAGAACGAGGAGGCTGTCTGCTCCCATACAGATTTACAGCCTCCAAAACCGTAAGGAGCAGTTCTGCGCTGTCCAGTGAGTTGGAATCCACTCTATCACAGTTTTGGTTGTCGTGTTGGTGAGAGAGTGGGGCAGAAAGCACAAGGTGACCTACACATGGTGGAAAAGACGCTTCGAGGGGATAACGGGGTGTCAGGCACAGGAAGAAGTAGTTCAGGAAAGGGCAGTCTTAGGTGGCAAGAGAAGGCATCATCCAATGGACAGATGATGTGGAAGGTGAAGAACCTGATACAAGTAACACTGGGTCACCTGGACAAGGAGACAGGGACACAGGAAGGAGGAAGGAAGCAGAGACCCAGGAAGCCAGTAAAGGTGGCTCTGCATAGATAGTAGTTGTTGGCCTCCTGATAACCCCAGGTGACAGAGAACGGCCCCAGAGGGTTTCCTAGGCTGTAATCTTTAAGTAGGTTGCCAAATCCTTCTCCAGAGGAGCAGCTGAGTGGGTTTGAACTGCCGACCTTTCCCTTAGGAGCTGAGTGCTTAACCATTTGACATTAGGGCTAGTCCATGCCTAGAACACGAAACCAGGAACGCAGAGGTAGTCCCCGCAGAGCTGGGAAACGTAAGTGGCGGCGTTAGATACAGGTGGCAAAGACCAAGGCTGATAAAGGGGTTCAGGTTCGCGATGAGGGCAGCGGGAAGTGACAAGGACCAGACAGAAACCATCAGAGATGGCTCAGGTCCAGGGAAGGGGCTCCCAAGATGGCAATGCCCAGGGCCGGTGGAAATAACTGAGGATTGGAATAGGTGAGCTCGAGGTGGGCCATGGGGGCTGGTGGAGGGGACTCGGGCTCTCGGGCTGGCGCAGCCCACGCCGGGGTGCAGGGCGCTGACCTGGTGCAGGGCGCTGATGCCATCGGCATTGGTGGAGTCAAGCACGGCACGGGCGGGCGGCGGGGCAGCGGGGTCGGGCTGGGCGGTGGGGTCCACGCGCAGCATCAGGCGCGCCTCGT